AAGCTGCCCTGGGAGTTGAGAAGATCCCTGCTGAGGGCAGGCAAGGGCTGGACCTTGGTATTCCAGGATGGCACTCACAGGCCCTGGCCTTGCAACTGGGGAGTTAAGAGGCCACTAGTGCCTGGTATAGCCTCTAGCCATGCCCTTAAGCCAGAAACAAGGTCCCTATCTTCGATTTTTGAGATTAAAAAAGATAGTTGCACCTTTCTGTAGGGACTTTCTATTTGTCACACTGGCCTAAGAGTTATCTCTGGAGTAAACAGACATCTCTGCCCCTGCTTAATAGCATCCCTCACTTACCTGGCATTAGCCACTGAAATAGGCAACTCTGGTCCCACATCCTACAATTTATACCTTAGGCAGCTCTCTGAGCTCATAGTTCAGAATTCTGGTTGGTTCTGGTGGTTCCCAGAGGAGGGCTAGGTTCTACATGATCTCATGGCCTCCAGGGGTGAAGTCACTCAGTATGTGCTTGGGCTTTATTATCAGGGAAATTTAGTCGGAATCTTAACTGCTCTGCTCACCAGCTATGTCTTGGGGTATCAGCCTTGACTTCTCTGAGCCTGTTAGCTCATCTCTTGAGAAAAGCTAATGGCACTATGGTAGCTCCAGTCCCTGCCTATCCATTGCCTACCATGTGTCCACAAGTGAATCATATTTCCTGTCTGGACTCCAGTTTTGTTGTCTCTAAATAGATTGTGATCTCTCCCCCTGTCTCCCAGAAGTGCTCTCATACAGACCTTTGGATGTTCCCTGTGAATACAAACCACTAATTGGACTTTCTCTAAGAAAAAGCTGAAGATGCACACATAGCCTCAAGCCTGTATGAAACCTTAGAAAGTAAAAAAGATCTAGGGCCATGCATTTGCCCCAAATGTCAAGAAATACTTGGGAGTTGTTCATGGTATTGCAGGAATCCAGTATCAGCTCCATTTTCTTAGTGCTGCTGTAAGAGCTACTTGACTTTGTTTCTCTCTAAAACAATCTCCTCCTCTTCCTCCTCCTCCTCTTCCTCCTCTTCCCTCTCCTCTTCTCCCTTCCCCTCCCCTTCCTCCCTCCTTTTCTTTCTTCCTTCCCTCCCTCCTCCACCTCCTTATTTCTCTCCCTCTCTCTCCCTCTCTCTCTCTCTCTCTCTCTCTCTCTCTCTCTCTCTCTCTCACACACACACACACACACACACACACACACACACACACACACTCTTCACTGCCACCAGTCTACTTCCCTAGATCTGCTCTCCCCATACTTACCCAGGACTGTTCCCCAGGCCCTCAGGTGCAAATCATTTGGGCTTGGGAATTGTGGACATTTATGCTGCTTCTGACAAATTCCCAGGAGGGATTATCCAGAGATTGGTCTCTTTCAGGAAATTTTGGGGTAAGTTAGTCAGGGCTAGTCTTTGTGCTTAGATGGATGGGAACATGAGAGTTCATCGTATGTAGGTGTGTCACCTGTCTCCCTCCATTTGAGTTCCTGACTTTTTCTCTGATTCCATGTCCCTCCCACCTCTAGACTGCATGCCTTTTAGTCCAGGTATTGGATGTGACTGGTACCTCAGGCGTCTTCTATTAAAGAATCCTTCAAGGCAGTGGTCACCAATCTTTTGGACCACACAGACCACCAGTGGTCCATGGACCACCGGTTGGCGGCCGCTGCTTCAAGGTGTCAGACAGTCTCATATGGAGCTACACATTGATAAGTCTAAGTTTTCATGCACTTACCTCCTTCTTGACTTGTAATTCCAGGCCAGTGAGAGAGGAGGGGTTTCCTATCTTCTGATCAGTGCCTATAGAGGCCAGAGAAAGAAAAATACATGGAATCAGAACAGGAATTTTGCTGGAAAAGCCAGCACTCTCCTAGCTGTTTACCTGGGGTCACAGTGACTAAAAAAAGGTGTAGCTATAACAGGGGTGGGCAAACTTTTTGACTCGAGGGCCACAATGGGTTCTTAAACTGGACCGGAGGGCCGGAACAAAAGCATGGATGGAGTGTTTGTGTGAACTAATATAAATTCAAAGTAAACATCATTACATAAAAGGGTACGGTCTTTTTTTTTTTAGTTTTATTCATTTCAAACGGGCCGGATCCGGCCCACGGGCCGTAGTTTGCCCACGGCTGAGCTAGAACATTGGGGGTTTCCAGTGAGGACCCTGGCTTCTCCAGGGCACTGCCAAGAATTTTCTCCCAGGATGCTCCACGTCGTGTCCTGGCCTCAAGAAAGCTGAGGCCTTTGGTTAGCCAAGGCCTGGTGCCTGATACTAGGGTCTCTCCCTACAATGAGAGGTATGGCTTGTAACTCGGCTTGTTCCTACTAAGGAATGGAAGCCAACAGCTGTTGGAGCAAACTCCCTCCTGCTTGGCTTCTCCCCTCCCTCATTATCACAGAGATGGTTGTTCCCCATAGGAAGTCAGGCCAGTGCCCCAATAAAAGGTGCTGCTGCTAGGTAGGAACAGTAACCTGAAAACGGAGAGGAATGGTTTAAGAGGGGAACAGGATCAAATGTTTGGGGCCTGAACCATAGGGTAGTGTGACCACAGGACAGACATCCGTCTTGTGCTGATGAAGACAGAAGGATAAGCATTGTGACATGAGGATAAGGATGTTGGCTCCTGCCCCATGGTGATGCATTTATTCTTTTCTCCTCTCTGTAGGCTCGCAGCCCTGAGTGAACGGGAGACTCGCCTGCAGGAGGTGCGCTCAGCCTTCTTGGCTGCATACAGCAGCACAGTGGGGCTTCGGGCAGTAGCCCCCAGTCCTTCTGGTGCCATTGGGGGCCTGCTGGAGCAGTTTGTGCGTGGTGTCGGACTCCGGGGCACCAGCAGCAGCACCTTATGAAGCAGCCTGCCCACAACAGTTTCCTGCTTCTCTCTCACCTGAGCCCTGAGTGGAATCAAAGCCATGCCTGGCCAAAGGGTGCTTTTTTAAAAGTCGGGAAAAATGTCCTCACTCCCCCATCTGCATCATGCACATGGCAGCCCCAAAGCCGAGCAGGGCCAAGGACAGGGTTCTCCAAACCTCAGCTTCCTAACTGGTGACCACCACCCCTCCTCTTGTCACTGCCTCCCACCCACTCTAATCATTGCCGGGATTCCCACCAACTCAGAACTGTATGGGGTTCCCTGGGGCCTCATGGAGGCCAAGACTTCACAGATGGCACCCCCCCCCCCCCTTTCCATGTGTTTCCTGGGGAGGAGGGGGGTCACCTGCACTGAGAATAGGCAATTTGACACAAAATAAAATCAGTCTTTTTGAACAGCAGCGCTTTTGGGCATTCTCATTTGGTTGCTATCTTTGTGAAGTTATTTGGAAGGTCTCACTGTCCTTTGCTGGAAAAAGGGGCTTGGGGGCTATACCTCAACTCTTGAGCCATGATAGTCTCCTCAGTGAGATGGGGACATGTAGTCATAGACTGTTAAGGGGTTGAAGCAGTTGTCCTCAGGGCTGATTAGGCTCTAGTCACCTAGGGAATCTGTTTATCTATGCAGATTCTTAGGGCTGCCTGAAATTTAGACTTGCGGTTGCTGACATTTTCATTTAGGTGGGAACAGGGTGGGGGTGTGTATGTTCATTTTAAATTCTGCAGGCAACACAGTCCTAGTACAAGTGACCTGCAGCCTCTGCCTATAGTGGAAGGACTGGCTTCTAGGACTTGGGAGGCAGTAGTTGGTGTGGAGAGGATGGATCTGTGTGACCACCGCTCTCATCTACAGCAAGACCAAGAGGGCTGCATCCTCACAGATTGTCTGCATCTCTAACACCATGAATTCATTAGAGTTCAAAGACCTGGGTAGGGCTTTGCACAGTGCTGTTAATAGCCACTGTTTTACTGAGCTCTGGCTGCTGCTGTTTTTTTAATGGGTTATTTTTTTTTATTATATTAATCCTCACCCGAGGATATTTTTCCATTGATATATTTTTTTAAGATATATTTTTATTGATTTTTTTTACAGAGAGGAAGGGAGAGGGATAGAGAGTTAGAAACATCAATGAGAGAGAGACATCGAACAGCTGCCTCCTGCACACCCCCTGCTGGGGATGTGCCCGCAACCAAGGTACATGCCCTTGACCGGAATCAAACATGGAATCAAACATGGAACCCTTGAGTCCGAAGGCCAACGCTCTATCCACTGAGCCAAACCAGTCAGGGCTCCATTGATCTTTTGAGAGAGAGTGGAAGACAGAGGGAAAGAAACATCAATGTGCTCACATCGATTGGTTGCCTCCTGCCCCCACCAGGACCCAGGCCAGGGAAGGAGCCTGCAACCAAGGGATGTGCCCTTGACTGGAATCGAACCCAGGACCACTTGGTCCGTAGGCTGACACTCTATGCACTGAGCCAAACCAGCTAGGATGAGCTCTGACTCTTAATACAAGAGAGGTCATTGGTATGAGTGCACAGAGGAAGCAAACATTCTTGAGAATTTACTGTGTATAACACCTTGTGCCAAGTGCTTTTCATGGATTATCTCAATAAAATTTTACAACAGCCCCAAGTAGGTGCTATAATGGCCTTTCTACTAATGAGATTGAGCCACAGAGATGTTGAGTAACTTGCCCAAGGTCGCACAGTTAATGTGAACAAATGTGTGACTTTCTGTTCAGAGACCTAGGCAGGGCGGCAGTGGGAGGGGGAGAAGCCGACTGTTGAGGGAGGGCTTAGGTAGCGGAAAGGTCCCAATTGCCCATCAGGTGCCCCAAACCCTTCAGCGCTGTGGATAGCTCTTCAGGAGGCGTGGGATTTGCCCCAGAAAAAATGCCCTGGAAGGATTCTCCCAAGGTGTGGGTTGGAGGGGGTCTGGGTAAGGTTCCCGGACAGCCCGAGGCTGCTCCAATGGGGCGGGGGCCCCCCGCAGGGCTGGGCGGGGCTGTGTTGCCTTCTGGAGTTGCTGCCGGCGGCCACAGTCCAGGCGTGAGCGGCGGGAGAGCGCACAGTGCTGGAGGGAGTGCAGCCGCCACTGAGGGAGCACAGGGGCCGGCGCCGCCGCCGGTACTCCTAGCCCTCCGCTGCTCCGGCCACCGGACCAGCTGAGAGACCAGCCATGTCTCTCAGTGGAGCCTCTGAACGCAGCGTTCCGGCTACCAAGATTGAGATTACCGTGTCCTGCCGGTGAGCTGGCCAGCTGGAGAGGGTGTAGGCACTGCCCAGCCCCAACCGGCTCCGGGGCTAGGGCGGACAGGGGCTAGACCCGGGGGGAAGAAGCATCTGGAGCAGGAAAATCGTGGATGCAGACTCCCTGTTAGGGGAGGGGATTTCCTTGAACAGTCGCACCCGCAAAAAAAGGGCTCACTTAGCCTGCGGGTTCAAGGGATGGGTCGCGGGGATCCAGTAGATTCTGGGCCCCAGGAGGACAAAGTTCTGGGGCTAACCCTCATTCCTGGGGACACTGTGGACACGGACCTGTCCAGCCCGCAGGGAAGCGGTCCTTGGGCTGAGCTTTCCGGTGCTGTCCAGGGTGCTAACAACGCGGACCCAGGCTGGATATAGGAATGAGGAAGGGAGGTGCGATTTGAGCCCCATGCCTCCCCCGGGTGCCCAACTCAGGGCCGAGTTGAGGCGGTGGGGTTCAGAATGACCCACCCTCTCTCCGTCTGTCTGTCGCTTTCTCTAGGAACCTGCTGGACCTCGACACCTTCTCCAAGTCCGACCCCAGTAGGCGGCACCTGGGCGGGATGGAGGGCAACTCGGTGTGCGGGCGCGACTGAGGAGCGGGGAGGGGGTGCAGACTGACCTGGCGTCCTTCTCTCCCCGCCCCCACTCCCGCCTGCAGTGGTGGTGCTTTACACGCAGAGCCGGGCCAGCCAGGAGTGGAGGGAGGTGAGTCCGCGAGTCCTCTTTCAGCCCAGAGCTGCCCCCGGGAATCAAACCCCCACCCCACTTTGCAGGCTCCACGCTGACTCTCAGCACCCCCCACCCCCCTATCCAGTTCGGACGGACCGAGGTGATCGACAACACGCTGAACCCAGACTTCGTGCGCAAATTCGTCCTTGACTATTTCTTTGAAGAAAAGCAAAACCTGCGCTTCGATGTGTGAGCCCCGCCCAGAATTCTGGCTTGGACCGCCCCCCGACCTGGATCCACCCGAAATTCTGGCTGGCTACACCCCCACCTGGCATCCCGGGCTAGTTCCTCCCCAAGGCCCAGTTCGGTCCCACTTAGAAGTGGGGGGTCCACTCTAATCTTAACTCCGCCCCACGTCGGCTTCGCCCTGCCCTTAGGTCACATCCGAGCCTGGTCCTGCCCACAACTCTGCTCCCTAATTTAGCTCCACCTGCGTCTAGGTCCCGCCCCCCTCACCCCCCGCCCCCGCCCCCGCCCACAGCAGGCCCTGATTTGGCCTCGCACAGGTCTGACCCTCTGCGACTCTGACTCCTACCCCAAAGGAGATCCGGTTTAATTCTGGCCGCAGTTTTAACCAGCACTTGAAACTCGACCCCCTTTCCAGGCTCTCCCCTACGGGCCCCGCCCGACGCTGCTCCTACTCTCTTTCCAGGTACAACGTCGACTCCAAAACCAACATCTCCAAACCGGTGAGCGAGCGTCCCCTCGCGGTCTGGGCACACGTGCGTCGCTCAGGGTGAAACGACCCTCTTTGGAACCCTCCTACCTCTTAACCCCGACTCTACCTTCTCTGGTCCGAACCCACCCTTCCCGGCCCTTCTCCGGTTCCTGCCTCGGCTTCCCACCTGTGCCTCCTACTCACTGCTCGTCTTTCTTCTCGGCCGCTGCTGGGTCCTGTAGAAGGTGAGGCTGAACCCGGCTGGGCGGAGTGGGGAGGGTGGAGGTGAGGGGTGGGATGGCAACATGGAGAGCAGCTTAAAATGACAGGACCAAGAAGGGGAGCTTGCTTAGGGAACACCCCCCCTTCCCCCACGCCCGCCCGCCCGCCCCCTGCTCTTTTAAAGCACCGGCTGGGCGGTGGTTCTTGCTATGTCCCGCCTCCTTGAAACACCCTGGTCGTTGTGGCTGGGCTGGTGTGGCCTCTTCTCCAGGGCTGGGCTGGGACTCTGCACCCCCAGCCCCCCCAGGCCTCGCTGACTCCGTGTCCCTGTGCAGGATTTCCTGGGACAAGCGTTCCTGGCCCTGGGAGAGGTGATTGGAGGCCAGGGTAGCCGCGTAGAGCGACCCCTCACGTAAGCTGAACTGGAAGGAGTGAGGGGGGAAGGGTGGGTGCCTCCAAATTCTCCTCCCAAAGATCCTGCTGACCTGGTAGTAGTAGAAGCTGGGATTCCCCCTGGTCAGGAGCCTTCAATGGTTCCCATCACCCTCGAGGGGGAAGCTCTAATCTCTAGGATTGTGTTAAAGTCTATCTCAGGCCTGGCATGTTTTCTCTCTCTCCTCACTGGTTTTCTAAGTCTTTCAACCTATAAGGTCCACTTCCAAGCTCTTCTCTTCCATGAGGTTTCCACTCACTAAGTCAAGTCCTCTGGAATTTCCATTATGTACTAAATATTTATTAGCATGTTTCATATGCCATTCCCTGTGCTAGATACCAGGGATATATCCATTTCACAAATATTCCTGGGCATATACTCTGTCAGCCACTGTTTAAGGGGCTTAGGCTGTAATGTGAACAGAACAAAGGTTCCTGCCCTTGGGGAGCTTATACTAAGGAGTGGGGGGTGAGACCTACAAAATAGACATAATAAGTAAATTACATAACATATTAGACAGTAAGTGCCACGGTAAAAAGCTAAGTAGAGCAGAATTAGGGGGATTGAAACAAAATGGTTAAGTGGGCCTCTTGGAGAGGTAACTTTGGAGCAATGACCTGAAGGAAGGAGGGGAGTGAGCCATGCAGATGTCTGGAGGAGGAATATTCCAGGCAGAGGAAACTGCCAGTGCAAAAGCCTGATATGTTCCAAGAGCAGCAAGAAGCCAGTGTGGCTGGAGCCAGGGGAGCAAGGGGAAAGGAGGAAGTGATGTTGGAGAGTTAACAGTGAGGACCTTATAGCCATTGTAAGGAGTTTAGCTTTTGCTCTGAGTTGGAAGTCACTGGAGAGTTCTAAGCAGAGAAGTGACATAATATGACAATGCTTTCAAAGTATGATGCTGGCTGCTGGGTTTAGAATAGATCTTGGTGCAACAAAGGTAGAAGCAAAGAGTCAACTGGAAGGCTATTATAGTAGTCCAGGGAGGTAGCAGTGAAGGAGGGGAGAAGTGGTCAGATTCTGGATATACTGTGAAGGTGGAGCCAAGTTTCTTGACAGATTGAATATGAATGTCAGAGGAAAAGAGGAGTCAAGGATGACACCAAAGCCTTTGACTTGAACAACAGGATGGATGGAGTTGTCATAAACTGAGATGGTTAAAAAAAAAAATTCAGGGAGAAGTAAGTTGGTGGGGAATTCTATCAGAAGTTCAGTCTGACTTGTTGAATTTCATAATTTTTATTAGACATTCGAATGGAGATGTCAAGTAGACAATAAGATACATGAGTCTTGCCCTAGCTGGTTTTGCTCAATGGATAGAGCATTGGCTTTTCGACTGAAAGGTTCCAGGTTCGATTCCAGTCAAGGGCACATGCCTGGGTTGCTGGGTTGCAGGCTTGATCCCCAGTAGGGGGTGTGCAGTAGGCAGCCAATCAATGATTATCATTGATGTTTCTCCCTCTCCCTTCCTCTCTGAAAACAATAATAAATTTTTTTTAAAAAGATACATGAGTCTTAGATGCTCTTTAAGGCCATAAGACTAGATAAGTGGAGAGAGAGAGGGTCAAAGACTGAGACTCCATGAGATGGAACTAGAAAAGGAGACTAAGAAGAAGCATTAGGTGGTGTTGTCCTGGAAGCAAAGTGAAAGACTTGGATCAAGGAGGAAAGTGACTACCATGTCAAAAACTTCTGCATGTTAAGTAAGGTAAGAATTAGGAATTTGCCAATGGACTTGGCAAGATAGAGGTCACTGGTGACTCTGACAAGCATAGTTTTGAAGGAGAGAGAGTTGGAGAAATTTAGAAAAGAATGAAGAGAAGGGAATCAAGGAATCTTTCAATGGGCTTTGCTGCAAAGAATAGAAGAGAAAAGGAGGGGTGGCTAGAGGAAAGTGAGGTCAAGAATAGTTTTGTGCCTGGCCGGTGTGGCTCTGTGATGAGCATCGACCCATGAACCAAGAGATCACTGGTTCGATTCCTGGTCAGGGCACATGCCCCGCTTGCGGTGTGCAGGAAGCAGCTGATCGATGTTTTCTTCTCATCGATGTTTCTATCTCTCTATCCCTCTCCCTTCTTCTCTCTCTAAAAATCAATTTTGTAAAAAAAGAATAGTTTTTTAATTTTTTAACATGAGAAAAATTATACCACATTTGTATGTTAAAGGGAAAGACCCAGTGGAAACTGAAATAACAAAATGAGGGGGAATTGCTGGAGTGATGTCCTTGTGTAGGTAGGCAAGAAGATGGGAATGTAGCACACAGTGGAGGGGTAAGTAGACACGTGCATAGTCATTTATAGCGTTGGTAGGAAGATGGTTGTGTGGGTGAAGATACCGGAGGCAGAGGAGACGTGGTGGGTCTGTGGACATTCTCTTCTGGTTGCTTCAGTCTTGTCAGTGAAATAGGAAACAAGGTCATTGGCTGAGAGTGAGGATGGGGGAGGAGGCTTTTTGGGTTTGAGGAGAGTAAAGAAGGAGTGAAACTGCCACCTAGCAGAACTGCAGAGTAAAGGATCTTGGGACCTACAGTATGACTATAGACGGACCCTCTTGAGGTTTGTGGTCATGCATTTATAATGAGACTAGCTGGCCAGTGTTGTTCAGTGATTGAGCATTGACCTATGAACCAGGAGATCACCGTTCAATTCCTGGTCAGGGCACATGCCCGAGTTGTGGGCTTGCTACCCAGTAGGGGGTGTGCAGGAGGCAGCTGATCGAAGATTCTCTCGCATCATTGATGTTTCTATCTCTATCCTTCTCCCTTCCTCTCTGAAATCAATAAAAACATATTTTAAATATATATATATAATAAAATAAGACCAATTAGAGCCCTGACTGGGATAGCTCAGTTGATTACAGCATCATTCCAATATGCCAAGGTTGTGGGTTTGATCCCAGTCAGGGCACATACAAGAATCAACCAATGCATGCATAAATAAGTGGAACAACAAGTCAATGTTTCTCTCTCTCAAATAAATAAATAAATAAATAAATAAATAAATAAATAAATTTTAAAATGAGAGCAGTTAGCATGATTATATGTTTTCCTCTGGTCATATCAGTTGTATCGGTGCAGTATGGGTTGGGCAGAGAATTGGGTTTAACTAGGGCAGTGGTTTTAACAAATAAGTATATTAAAGTGAGAGAAGGACAAGGGAAAAGGGTAGGATGCAAGGTAGTGACTATTATAATCACTGACTGGAATTTACATTGGGTGAGGAGATGAGAGAGAACATCAAGAAGGTGAAAAGCAGTGAGAAGGCAGTAGGATCAGTGACTTTGTCCTGGATGTGCAGGTGAAGAATCCCTGTACTCATCACACTTGTCTTTTTAAAGTACAAAAGGTCAAAGATCGAAGAAGCCAAATAAATGGTTCAAAATTCTCATTTTAAAAATGGGAAAAATCACATAGCAAATTGGTGCCAGGACTTGAATTCGGAACACTTCTGACCTAGCTTTCCTCTCCCATACTTGGGATCTTTTTTAGGATCAGGGTTCATAGGTCCATGTAAACAAGGTTCCTGACTGTTTGGAGACCCAAGGCAAGTTGGAGATAGATGTCCTGGTATGCAACCTTCATGCACATGGGTTAGGAGAGGTTAAGGCTTCCCTTGTCTTTTGTTGTTGTTGTTAATCCATTGATTTCTAAAGAGAGTGAAAGGGAGGGAGAGGGAGAGAGAGACAGAAACATCAATGTGAGAGAGACATATCAATTGGTTGCCTCCTTCAGTACCCGACCTACCGGTGCTGGGGATCTAACCTACAACCGAGGTACAAATGCCCTTGCCTGGGAAATGAACCTATGACCCTTTGGCGGTGCACAGTCCGAAGCTCTGACCACTTAGAAACACCGGCCAGGGTGTCCCTTGTCTTTTTTTAAAAATATATTTTATTGATTTTTTACAGAGAGGAAGAGAGAGGGACAGAGAGCCAGAAACATCAATGAGAGAGAAACATCAACCAGCCGCCTCCTGCACGCCCCCCACCGGGGATGTGCCCGCAACCAAGGCACACGCCCCTGACCGGGACCGAACCCGGGACCCTTGAGTCCGCAGGCCGATGCTCCATCCACCGAGCCAAACCAGTTCTGGCTGTCTTTTTTTTTAAAATATGTTTTTATTTATTTTAGAGAGAGGGGAAAGGAGAGGGATAGAGAGATGGAAAATATCGATGAGAGAGAAACATCATTGATCTGCTGCTTCCTGCACGCCCTCTACTGGGATTGGAGCCTGGCAACCGGGCATGTGCCCTGACTGGGAATCGAACCAGTGACCTCTTGCTTCATGGGTCACGGCTCAACTACTGAGCCACGCTGGCCAGGCTTCACTTGTCTTTTATATTTCACTCTTCACAGTCTTTGGAAAGCACAGCATCTTTGATCTGACAAATAGGCCCTTTACTCCAGGTTTGGATAGAAATTCCAGGACTTTTAAATCCTATGTCTTTCTCATTATACCATTATGAGATGCCCACCTAGGTTATATTAGCCCCAAACAAGACTATAGACCCCTCCCCAGTCAAAGTTAAGCCCTTCCCCACTAGGAGCCACTCAGAATAGAAGGGGACACACTCAGGGGACTGTCAGTAAATAGCAAAATAAATCCCTGGCCCACCCACCCAATCCCAGATTGGCCACCCCAATCCTTGTTGCCTACTCTCCCCCCTCACAAAGAGGCTTTTTCTGCTTCCAGGGGTGTACCAGGAAAGAAGTGTGGGACCATATTGCTGACCGCAGAAGAGCTTAGCAATTGCCGGGTCAGTAAGGGCCACATGCTAGACCCAGAAGGCTTGCTTCTCTCCCCAAACTCCCTTTAGTGGACTGTCTGAGACTATGGGACATTCAAGGTCAACAGCCCAACTTCATCCCTAGGACATTGCTACCATGCAGCTGTGTGCAAACAAGCTGGACAAGAAGGACTTCTTTGGGAAATCAGACCCCTTCCTTGTGTTCTACAGGAGCAATGAGGATGGCACGTGAGTCACTACTCTCCAGTGGCACCCATCCTCTCCCGCTGTGACCATGGGCCCATTAGGGTTCTTAGGTTGGGCATCATAGACTCCACCAGGACCTGAGTCCAGAATTCATTCAAGGCAGCACACAACATGTGCTTAACAAGTGGGAGAATCCCCGAAATCTCTAAGAGTATCAGGCCTTCTCTCTGGGCTCAGTCCTACCCAAAGGCAAGCTTTAATCTCTTGCTCCTCTCCAGGTTCACCATCTGCCACAAGACAGAGGTTGTGAAAAACACACTGAACCCCGTGTGGCAGCCCTTCAGCATCCCTGTGCGGGCACTGTGCAATGGAGACTATGACAGGTCTGCTTCAGCATAAGCTAGGGAGTAAGAGGACAAGGGCATGAGAGTGGGGCCCTAGAATGATGTCAGAGAGTCATAATAGTGTTAGAGGATCCTGCTCAGTGAGACAGTTTTGGGCATGGAGATGATTGGATGGAGAAGCAAATGGATAGCCACATGGATGGATAAGTGGATGGATGGATGGATGGATGGATGGATGGATGGATGGATGGGCAAATGAACAAATGAGTGAGAAGATACATGGGTGGATTGTCAGATGGATGGATGTAGACTGGTGAATTGATGGGTGGGTATATGGATGGGTGTTATAAGAGGATTGATGGTTGGGTAGAGGGGGAGATATATGGATGGATAAGTGGACTGATGGCTGGATTAGTGGATGGACAGATTATGTATAGATGAGTAAATGGATAAATAGATGGATGGCTATATGAGAGATTGGTGGGGTGGATCTCTCATTGGTGGACTAGAGAGGCAGAGGGGTGATTGGAAAAGCAGGAGGATAAATAAATGGAGTGATAGGTATATTGATGGGTGGACAGATTAATGGATAGTAGATGGATGGATAGATTAGTTGATGGATGAGTATAAAACAGATGGACAGGGTGACCATATAAACTAATAAATGGGCAGTATGAAGATAGGTGGGTGGAAAGATGGATGGGCACAGAAATGGTTATAGATGAATGGAATATCAGATGAACAGATATCAGATGGTCAGATGTTTGGTTGGAGAGATGAATGGTCAGGCAGATGGATGCTTGCATGCATCAATGAGTCAGTGAATGGCTGCATATATAGTTAGATGGATGGACAAAGATAGGAATTAATATGTAATTGGATTGGTGAATATATGGGTAAATGGGTGGCTAGATGGATAGATAGATGGTTGAATGGACTGCCACATAGATAGATAGACATATGGGGGTGACTTAAGTTAAGAACAAGGTCTTTGGAACCAGGATGTCTGAGTTTAATCTCAGCTCAGTTATGATCCTTAGTCAAGTTACTATTTTGTTTTGTTTTTGTACTTCAGCTTCCTTATCCAAAAAGTAAGAATAATAGTACTTACTTTATAAGCTGGTTGATAAATGAGACAATCTGTGAAAGTTCTGGGAACAATGCTTGGAATATAGTAGGACGTGGTAAAGAATAGCAATAGTGGTACAAACAGCAGCAGTAGTAATAGTAGTACTGGTAGTGGCAGTAGATAGTTGGGTATTGTGCATGGATTGATGAATGAATAGATAGAATAGATGGACAAATGGGAGGAACGGTGATGGAAGGACTGATGGGTAGATGGGAAGATAATTTGTGTAAGGTAAAGGTGGGGGTGTTTCTAAGATTTGTCATACACACCCAGCCTATCTTTATCTTTTGCATTTCAGAACAGTGAAGATCGATGTGTATGACTGGGACCGGGATGGAAGGTAGAACTGCCTTCTCCTGTACTTAACCCAAACAGTACCCTATAATGTGTAGTACATTCACTAGAACCCCCAAAGTGGCTTTGGGAACCAGGAAGGGTGATGATAGATACCAAGACCTTGGGTACAACTGATCCCCTCAGTTATCTCTCTAGTACACGGTCTCTTCCCTTCTCTTCCCCTTAGCTTGGCCATTCTTCTGGCACTAGCACCAATGCCCTACAGCTCAAGTAGAGTAAGAGGATAGTGAGAATAAAAGTCTGTTTTTAGGCCTGGTTCCAAGCCAGCAGCAGCTGCTACTCACCCACCCCTGGCCTCATTGCAGCCATGACTTCATTGGTGAGTTCACCACCAGCTACCGGGAGCTGAGCAAGGCCCAGAACCAGTTTACAGTATATGAGGTGAGAGCTCCAGCCCTGCCCAGGTTGTCCACGTCATCCCTCATCCCAGTGTGATCAGTCTGTAGTTCCCTCCCTCGGTTTCCCACCATCACTGTTATCTTCCTCACTTAGGTACTTAACCCTCGGAAGAAATGTAAGAAGAAGAAATATGTCAACTCGGGAACTGTGAGTGCTCCCTGGAGCTCTGACCTTCCCTGGATCCTTCTGTGTCTATCTCCATTGACATAGCATGTTGGGGGTACCAAAAGGCTGTAGGTACACATTACTTGGATTAGTAATGTTGGGCACAAAGTGGCACCATTAAGTTTTTCCTCTTTTTTTCTCAACTGTGGAAATTTTTTGCTCTTTACTCTTTTTGTAGAATATATTTTTTAAAAATCTAAATTGTATTTCCCAATTTAATATACCTTTGGAAATTCAAATATGTTTCCGACAGCTTCCTCTTTTTGCCCTTTCCGAAATTGGAGAAGGTGGGTCAGGGTGTGGCAGGGGTGGCATCATGGGTCTCTTTCCCTTCTGCCACTCCAACTGCCCTTTCCAAAGTAGCAGGGCTGCCTTTTCTATCCCACAGGTGACACTGCTCTCTTTCTCTGTGGACTCTGAATTCACTTTTGTCGATTACATCAAAGGAGGGTGAGTTACAGGCTAAGCTTTGGGCTAAACGAGTTCCTCCCAGTTCTGAGCCTCAGTTTTTTTATTTATGAATTGTCAGGATCCAATGAGATCATGAAAACAAACTTTAAAACACTTGGCAAACTATAAAGCACTCTGTAAAACGCATAGTGTTCTCGAGGCTTCATCCCTGGCTCTCAGACTCCCTTGAAGTCATGGCTTAAATGAGGCCATGGATGAGCAGCACCTGGGGCTGGCTTAGAGCCAGTCCTAAGATTCCAGACCAGTGGTCTTCACAGGTGGCCCCAGTAATCTGCCTGGGACCTATACAAAGTTATGTCTAGGCAAGAGGGGAGAGGTCAAGAGAGAGGGAAAGCCCAAGCAGACTATAGGGACATTCTGCTTGGTTCAGTGGAGGCAGGCAGACCTGAGAAAGGTGCTTTGCTTCTCTGATCCTTGCTTTTCTCCTATGTAAAATGGAGATGTGAATTACTACTTTCAGGCTATAGTAAGGGTTAAGTTAAATTACATGTAATACACTTGTCATATAGTAGGCATTTAATTCTGCTACCCAAAGTGTGCTCCATGGACTAGCAGCATCTGCATCACTTGGAAGTTTGTTAAAAATATAGAATCTCAGGTTCCAATCAGATAATCCAGATTAGAATATATATTTTAATATGATCCCCAGGTGGTTCATATGCACACTAGTGTTTGAGAAATCCTGGTACAATAAGTATTGGTCCCTCACTTCTCAATCCATCTATTTCCCTGACAGGACCCAGCTGAACTTCACAGTAGCCATTGACTTCACAGCTTCTAATGGTGAGGCATGGTTTGGGGAATGGGATGTGGAGGAAGCCCTTAAGATTGGTCTGGATTCCAAGCTAGGGATAAGAGTTCATGTACCCAGTAAGCCGAGGCTTGAGGCAAAGCCCAGTGAGGCTAGTACTGGGCAGGAATGTTGGGGAGAGATTATTGGGCGTAAGGGTGAGCAGAGGGTATAGGAAAATAAGTGTGTGAATGGATCAGGAAAGTTGAAAGGACAGATAGTTCAAGAGGTGGATGAGTAAATGAATGAATGGGAGAGAATAGGGGTATAAGGACAGATGGATAGAGGAATGGGTGGTGAGTGATGACTGGTTGGGTAGACAGATGAACAGAGAGGGTAGATGTGTTCGTGAGAACAATAGGACGCATGGATGAGTATGTGGGTGGGTAAATGGACAGATGTTTAAATTAGGGGCAACAATGGGTAAGTAGATGGGGAATGAATGAGTGGACAGGTGGATGGATCTATATGAGGATAGGCAAGTGAATAAATGGAATGGATAGGGATGAATGGATGGGTGGACAGATGAATATGGCTGTATGGATGGATGGAAAAGAAAGAAATGGAGGTGGACAAGTGGATGGATGGATGGATGGATGGATGGATGGATGGTTGGATAAGAGAAGGAAAAGGCAGATGGATATAGGTAGACAGATGGATTTATGCTAGTGGGTGGGTGAATGTGTGGATAGGTAGATAAATTGATGGATAAATGTAAGGGTTGGTGGGTGGACAGATGGACAAATGAATATATGGATGATTGGATAAAATAATAAGGGAGTACATGGGTAAAGGGTGGATGAATGGATAGATGTATGGATGCATACCAGGATAGGCAGATGAATAGATGCATGAGCAAGGTGACATTAAGGCTGGGGCTCCTGTGTCCCTACAGGGAATCCCCTGCAGCCAACCTCCCTGCACTACATGAGTCCCTACCAGCTCAGCGCCTATGCCATGGCCCTCAAGGCAGTGGGAGAAATCATCCAGGACTATGACAGTGACAAGCTCTTCCCAGCCTACGGCTTTGGGGCCAAGCTGCCCCCAGAGGGACGGATCTCCCATCAGTTCCCCCTGGTATGGTATGGGCCAGAGCCTACACTCCATGCCCTGGCATCTGGCCCACCCAAGTTGACAAATTTCTTCTATTTACATTTCTTCTAAGGGTCATGGACCTGCAGAGAAGCAGGAAGCTATAATAGGGGAGAAGAGCAGGGAGGGGGAGCAGGGCTGGAGTTTGGTGGGTGGGGCATGAAAAGAGAGTGATGATAAAACGAAGGAGTGAGCTTGGATCAGAGCACTACTGGATGTACCCTGCATGGGCCCAGCCCAGCAGGGCATCTTCCCTGACAGAACAACAATGATGAGGACCCCAACTGTGCGGGCATTGAGGGTGTGCTGGAGAGCTACTTCCAGAGCCTGCGTACAGTGCAGCTCTACGGGCCCACCTATTTTGCTCCTGTCATCAACCAGGTGGCCAGGTAAGATAACTCGATGGAGTTTGAGGAGAACAAGGGGACCCAGACAGGGGACTGACTTCCCAAGGATAGTTAGAACCATTCTTAGTGAACTTGGGCTTTGGGGAGAGGGTGAAAGTTTGTGTTAGCCAGCCCTTGGTATAAAGAGGTTATATATGCCTTATTCTGGGTCAGAGAGGGTATCAGCAAATTACCCCAGCCCCACTCCCTGGGAACAACTGAAACATCAAGTTTGGGGGAGAGAAAGGCCTATAGCACAACAGTTAAGTTACAAGCTTTGGCATCAGATCTGGAAGTGATCCTGTTTCCACCACTCACTCTGTGACTTATACAATTTAGCCTCTCTAAGCCTCCATTATGGGTGTAATAATGGATAACAATAGCCCCTTCTTTATAGAGTTATTGGGAGGTTGCAATTAGATAACAATGTAAAAATTATTAGCACAGCCCTGACCGGTTTGGCTCAGTGGATAGAGCGTTGGCCTGCAGACTGAAGGGTCCCAGGTTCAATTCCAGGCAAGGGCATGTACCTTGGTTGCGGACACATCCCCAGTGGGGGGTGTGCAGGAGGCAGCTGATTGATGTTTCTCTCTCATCGATGTTTCTAACTCTCTATTCCTCTCCCTTCCTCTCTGTAAAAAAATCAACAAAATATATATTTTTTTAAAAAGAATTATTAGCACAAAGCCCTGGCTGGGTAGCTCAGTTGGTTAGAGCGTCATGCCAATACTCCAAGGTTGCAGGTTCAATTCCCGGTCAGGGTACATACAAGAAGCAACCAATGAATGCATAATCATAAATTTAAAAAATTTTAATGATGGTAAAAAAAAAGAAAAAATAATTATTAGTACAGTGTCTGACCATAGTTAAGTGCTCAATAAAAAACAGATTAAAAAACATAAGAGTGCCCTAGCTGGTTTGGCTTAGTGGATGGAGTGTTGGCCTGCGGACTGAAGGGTCCTGGGTTCGATTCCAGTCAGGGGCACATGTTGCAGGCTTGTTCCCCTGTGGGGGGCATGCAGGAGGCAGCCAATCGATGGTTCTCTCTCATCATTGATGCTTCTATCTCTCTCTCCCTCTCCCTTCCTCTTTGAAATCAATAAAAATATATTTTAAAAAATAAATTAATAAAAAATATAAGAGTATGCCCTGGCTGGTTTGGCTCAGTGCTTAGAGTATCCGCCCATGGACCGAAGGGTCGTGGGTTTGATTCCTGGTACATACCTGGGTTGCAGGTTCATTCATTTCCCTGCCTGGTTCGGGCACATATGGGAAGCAACCAATTGATGTTTCTCTCTCACATCCATGTCTCTCTCTCTAAAATCAATAAAAACATATCCTCAGGTAAGGATTTAAAAAACAAATAAAAATATGAGTAACCCCAATTTTTAAACAGACTTTAAATATGTTTTTATTGATTTTTTAGAGAGAGAAGAAGGGAGAGGGAGAGGGAGAAAGATAGAAACATCAATGATAGAGAAACATTGATCGGCTGCTTCCTGCATGCCCCTACTGGGGATCTAGCCTGCAACCTGGGCGTATGCCGACAGGGAATCAAACCAGCAACCTCTTGGTGCATGGGTCGATGCTCAACCACAGAGCCACACAGGCCAGACAGTAACTCCAAATTTTCAGAATAAAAATAAACAAAATAAAGTCCAGATCACATATCAAATTATTTTGTAAATGCAAATTAAAAAATGACAGAACTAAAACTAAACATGTATCAATAAACACAAGTTGGATAAGCTCACCTACTAAAGGAAAAATACTCTCTGATTAAATTTAAAAATAAGTCATACTAAATGCTGAATAGAAGAGACCAACTAAAACTAAGTACCTCAGAAAGCTTGAAAGTAAAAATATGAAATAAAGAAACAAAACTAGCCCTGGCTGGTTTGGCTCGATGGATAGAGTGTTGGCCTGGGAACTAAGGGGTCCTGGGTTCAATTCCGGTCAGGGGCCCATGCCTGGGTTGCAGGCTTGACCCCCAGTGGGAGGTGTTCAGGAGGCAACCAATCAATGATTCTCTCTCATCATTGATGTTTCTATCTCTCCCGTCCTCTCTGAAATCAATAAAATATATATTATAAAAAAAAGAAACAAAATTAATAAAAGTGGAAGGATTTCAGGGAGATTTATATGTCCATAGACTTCCTTTTTCCCTAGTAAAAAATTATTTTTTAATTCATAATAAGGATGATAGTTTCTTTAATTATAAAAGTAATATAACGCATAACATTGCTATAGAAAATTTCAAGAATGGAGAAATAAGAAATCACCCAGAATACTGCCCAACATATATATATATATGTATTTTGACAGTCTTTTCCTTATGCATCCATAATTGCAGTCAAATTACATATAATATTTCACTACTGATTTTTTCACTTAATAGTAGAGCCTGAGCATATTCTTTAGTTGTTATTAAACAGACTCCTTAAATATTATCTTGGAAAAGTTCACTCATTCATTCATTCATTCATTTAATAAACATTAAGAAGCCCTAACCGGTTTGGCTCAGTGGATAGAGAGTCGGCCCACAGACTGAAGGGTCTCAGGTTTGATTCTGGTCAAGGACACCTACCTCGGTTGTGGGCTTGATCCCTGGCCCTGGTCAGGCTGCGTGCAGAGGCAACCAATTGATGTGTCTCTCTCACATCAATTTTTCTCTCTCTCTGTCTCTCCCCCTCCCTTCCACTCTCTTTAAAAATCAATGGAAAAATATGCTCCGGTGAGAATGAACAAATAAATAGATAAGCATTAAGAAAAGGAGCAATGTAACATGAATGTGGAGTCAGACTAGCTCATACACACACTCTACCTCTTATAGCTGTTTGACTCTGGGCAAGGCTCTTAACCTCCCTGTGTCTGTTTCCTCAGTTGTACAATGGTGATAATAATACCCATATCACAGGGTTGTGAAGACTAACTAAGTTAACATCTGTCAAGCACTTAGAACAGTGCCTGCCACATCATAAGTACTATAGATGTTAGCTATTACTGTTACTATTATTATAGTTATTACTATTCAGAGGGCATCAGCTGTGAGCTCAGTTCTCTGCTGAGGCACTGAGACTCACAGATGAATCAGATTTAATCTCTGCCCTTGGGAGTTCCCACCGTGGTGCAAGAGACAGAAATATAAATAAATCATTACCTTCTGTAGGCTAGAGCTTCCCAGACTTTTCCAGCAAGTCGCCTGTCAGCAAAGGCAAGTGACTGCTTCCCCCAGGGGAATCTGGGGGCACAGCTGAAAGCAGCCAGACTGAACATGTCTTTGAAGTCCCCATATTTTATCTTAAAAATTCATACACATTTTACATTCTTCTCACACTGTGTCCATGTTTGCTTTAATTTAGAAAAAAAGGTGTTTTAAGTGTACATAGAGTCATCTAGCTTTATCCACATGATCATACAGTACAATGGATGGGACATGTATTCTGTTGCCTTGGGTCCCCCTAGGCACACAAGTTGGTACCCAAATGGGTGTGAGAACAGCCCATTTCAGTGGGCGATATCCTAGAAGGCAGAGGGAGAGGAGGGGAGGGTATAACCGAGTCTGAGAAATCCAAGGCAGCCTTCTCATGAAGGGGGCTGCCACTCTGGGTCTAGAGGGCAAGTTGAACTTTATCAGAGAATGGAGTAGAGTAGGTCTGACAGAAGGACCACATGTGGAAAGCACAGAGGTGTGAAGGGGCAAGCTCAGGAAAGAGTGAACAGTATACTAGGATCAGAATGTGCCCTGTATGTGGAATGGAGGAGTATCCGAAGAACAGCCTGGGAATGGAGAGAGGGCATCAAGAGCTCAGGCGTTAGGCTCAGTTGGTCAAGCATGGAGTTGGACCATGGCCTCACCATCCCTTGAGGATGCTTTTTAATGTCTCTGAACTTCAATTCTCTCATTTAAAAAATAGGAATAAAAATGTGCCTACCTTATAGAATGATTATAAGGATTAAATTACAAGTGTGCAGCTAAGGGTGTTTTTTAAAATACATTTTTATTGAAGGGAGAGGGAAAGAGAGATAGAAACATCAGTGATGGAGAAAGAATCATTGACTGGCTGCCTCCTACACGCCCCCCCTACTGGGGATCGAGCCTGCAACCCTCGCATATGCCCTGACCAGGAATCGAACTGTGACCTCCTGGTTCATAGGTCGACACTCAACCACTGAACCATGATGGCCAGGCTGCAGCTATGATTTTTTTTTTTAAATATATTCTATTGATCCTTTACAGAGAGGAAGGGAGAGAGACAGAGAGCTAGAAACATCGATGAGAGAGAAACACCGATCAGCCGCCTCCTGCACACCTCCCACTGGGGATGTGCCCGCAACCCAGGTACATGCCCTTGACCGGAATCGAACCTGAAACCCCTCGGTCCGCAGGCCGATGCTCCATCCACTGAGCCAAACCGGTCTCGGCATGCAGCTATGATTTTAATGATCATAGATGACTCTTCATTTTTTACCATCCAGTAGCCAAGTGGGGCACAGACTGGCCTCCCCAGCCAGTCACCCATCTCAGAGGTCTGAATGGCCTTGGTAATGCCAGGTGTCTACAGAGACGTACCTCCCATTGCCCCTGGCTCACAAATCCCTTCGTGTGTGGGCCTTCACCCACGGTACCAGCCTCATCTCGCTCCTGTAGTCCTACGTATGCCACTAGAACATATATCTTGGTTTGCACATGCAAACCCTCTCTCTGGAACACTTTTCCTTTTACCTCCCCTCTCTCCTCCCACTCCTCTCTTCTACCTCGGCAACATCTTCATCTGGCTAACTTGTACTCATTTTTGTCTTAGGTTAGATGTTACGTCCTCAAAGCCCTAACCTCAATGTATCATAATGGTATAAGCATTCACCTCCCCAGGACAATATCCTATTCTCTGCTGCATGCTTAGCACTGAGCTTGGTGCTTGACACACAGCCAGTGTGCAATGATATTTGTAAAATCAGTGACAGGAAATGGTACCAGTCCAGGCCTATGAAGAGGCTGTGGCCAGAATTCAGAAAGGGAACAGGGGCTGCTAAGGAAGATTATAACCCAATCCCACCCTAGGCACTGGGCAAACTGAGCCATAGCTATTTGAGTTCTCCACCATGCTTTCCTCTGATTTTTAGATATTAGGCTTAAATACCAGCACAGTCCAATAGAACTTTCTGTGATGATAGAAATGTTCTGTAACTGTGATGTCCAATATGGTCACATATGGACACTGAATACTTGAAACATAGGGTGAATAAGGAATGAAATGTTTAATTCTATTTAACTTAATTCACTTACATTTCAATAGCCATATGTGGCTAGGAATACTTTAATGGATAGTGTAGTTGCATCCTTTCCAGCACACACAGGGCTTGAGAATGGATGTCAGGAGACCTGGCTCTACCATGGCCTTTGTGCTCTCTCAAGGCCTTGTTTTTTGAATATGTAAGATAAGGGGACTGGACTCAATTACTTCTGAAGTCCTTTTCACATGGAAAAATCTTGGGTTCAAAGATTAATAGTAAGAGAAGAAAAAGGAGTTCTGAGAACAGCAGTTATACTGACCGGGGACCCAGCAGCCCAGGAAATGGGCTATGTTCAGCAGAGGGGAGAAGGGAGTGAGGTGAAACAGGTGAGATGAGTGAAGAGAGGAGGCCATCAGCCTCTGGTCATGCTCTTGTATAAATACCAAAATCTTCCCGGGGCAACACAGTCCCGTGTGGTCTGGCTCCTGCCCCACCTCAGCCACATGGTCCCGTCTGTTTCCCTCACTTTCTAGGCTCCAGACAGGGTGGGCTTCCTTCAGTCCCATCACAGGACCTTTGGCCATGCTATTCCTTCTACCTGGACTGATCCCCCCTTCATTTAACCTCTCCTTCATTCTCAAACATTGTTTCCTTAAATAAGCCTTCGCTGATTCGGACTATGCCAGGAATCCCTACGATACACCCTCACAGCAGTGTCCTTTTCTAACACAGCACTCATAATAAGTGTAATTTTATACCCATTTCAGTGATTCTTGAATCAATATCTGCCTCCCATTGAGAGGGCTGGGATAGAGTTGTTTTTTCTCGTGGTGTACCTTCAGTGCCTAACACAGAACCTACCATATTACGTGCTCCATAAATGTTACGGGCAGACAGTGGCAGGCACTCAGGTCTGGGGAAGGAGCATGAGCTTCAGAAACCCCAATCCTTGCCTGGCACTTATACGCTGCCTGTGGAAGCTCTAGGAGTGGGGTGTTCTCATTGGTCTCTCTGGGCTTTCAGCTGGATTCTGTTCTTGGCCTCTCACCCAGGGCTGCAGCCAAAATCTCTGATGGTTCCCAGTACTATGTCCTGCTCATCATCACCGATGGAGTCATCTCTGACATGACACAGACCAAGGAGGCCATTGTCAGTGTGAGTCTGAGGAGGAGGACTTGGCAGGGAGGGGTCACTGTTAATAACTGTGAAGGGATTGAGATTTTAATTTAATATTTATTAAATTAAGTAATACTTGTCAAGAGGTTTAAAGCTAACAATTTAGCCTGCCAGTTTCATGAATGCTAGCAAAAGACACAAGACTTGTGGAACAGGGACAAAGAACTCTGTTATTCCCAGCAATAGCAGTAGCTCAAGTATCAGCATTTTCTCTTATTCTCTAAGCCCCAATTCCCACAAGATGATGTTAAGAGGGCCAGAGGACACCTGCATCCAGTCAGCTGCATTATAGAACAGAAACCCTGAGCTTAGGAAACCCCTATGTTTTATAATGGGAAGTAATGTTTGGAAGACAGGCCTGGGTGCCCAGTTTCTCCACTTTGTTCCAGTGTGAGACATTTTATTATACTGGGCATTAAACAAAGGTGCCCTTGGCTCTAAAGAAAGACACTATATCTTTGACATGCAGACACCCTTGCAAAAATAGTCTGGAACAAAGGAAATCAGTGCCTCTACTTGCAAGATGTGCAGAAATATAACACATGCACAAAAAATTGCTCTCAACAGTCACCTCCTTTATTATGGCTACTCACCCCAGACATTCATCCTCTTTCCCTCACAGGCCTCCTCACTGCCCATGTCTATCATTATTGTTGGTGTGGGACCAGCCATGTTTGAGGGTGAGTAGGATGGGGGTTGTCCCTGAGTGGGACCAATAATTGGGGAAAATAAAGGAGAAACTGGGCACCCAGGCCTGCCCCTCCCCCAAAAATACGATGGATGTCTGTGTTGAACCTTGGCCAAGTCACAGACCTTTTCTGAACCTGTTTCTTCATCATAACCAAGGCTGTTGATCTGAATACTTCCCTCTTGGGATTTCTGGGAGGATGGAATGTGTGGAAAGGCATAATAATAATGCCATAGCAATGCCTAATAATTGCAGGACTTTGACAATCATGAGGCATTCTCATGATGACTCTGAAGGGGAGCTAAGAGGGAAGGGGCCGCATGGGTTGGTTGGTGTGGGAGAGGTCAATCAGCTGAGGGGTGTCTTTTTTACAGCAATGGAAGAGTTGGATGGTGATGATGTACGTGTATCCTCTAGGGGCCGCTATGCTGAGCGGGACATCGTTCAGGTAGACCTGACCAGGGAGAGGAAGTCATGGAGCTGAAAGGCATGATAGGAAGGAGAGACTAAGTTGGCAGCCATTCTTTCTTCTGCCTTCTTAATCACCCACCTTTCACCCCTCACTCTTTTAGCCCTCCTGCTTTCACTGAACAAAATCTTGGTGAGAAACAGGCAGGTTGCTATAGCCATTATGGATCCATAGTGTAGATCCCCAAGGCCTCTGCCTTCTAATGGAGGCAACCAATAATAATCACACAGCTGATTATCTCATTAGGTTGTGAAAGTGCTCCAGAGGAACAGCAAATGCCACTGTGAGAGTCTATAACAAGGACCTGTCTTAGGTAGGGTAGTCAGGGAAGGCTTCTTTGAGGAAATTACATTTGAGCTGAAACCTGTAAGCATTACAGGCAGAGGAACAGCATGAAAGAAGGCCCTGAGGCGCAGAAGAATTGGTCCAATCATGGAAAAGGCAAGAAACCAGGGTAACAGGATCACAGTGAGTAAGAGAAAGGGGAAGCCAAGGCTATGCCGATCATGGTGAGATTTGGGTTTTGTTCTTTAAAAATTGGAAAGCTCTTGCATGATTTCATATAGGGAAGTGAGATGGTCAGACTTCCATTTTTTTAAAAAAATATATTTTATTGATTTTTTACAGAGAGGAAGGGAGAGAGATAGAGAGAAATATCGATCAGCTGCCTCCTGCACATCTCCTACTGGGGATGTGCCCGAAACCCAGGTACATGCCCTTGACCGGAATCGAACCTGGGACCTTTCAGTCCGCAAGCTGACGCTCTATCCACCGAGCCAAACCGGTTTCGGCCAGACTTCCATTTTAAGAGGACCTCTGCTTCATGGAGAGTGGACTGTAGCAGGGCGAGAGAGAAGGGCGGTAGACTCATTAGTGAAGAAGCCTTTAAGTAGTAGAGGGAAGGCAATAGGGCTCTGGATGGGAATACAGTGGGGCCTTGACTTACGAGTTTAATTCCTTCCGAGATCGAGCTCGTTAAGGAGCTCATTAACTCAAATTACTCTGTCAACTCAATGCAAAAAATCGGTGGAGAGACAGCTGGTATCTCAAAAAACTCGTTAGTCGGGACACTCGTAAGTCAAGGCCCCACTGTAGAAGCAGTGAAGATAGAAACAGGTTCAAA